AGCTGCTACCACTGGTAGTCGTGTCCCGCGTGAGCGTCCTCCTGCTGTCCCAGGCACGCACCGGATGGCGCTTCGTCAGTCCACTGCTCCGCAGCGTGTTGCTCTCCCGTCGCCTCCTGCGTCCTCTCTTCCTGCTCTTGCTGACCCGGAGTCAGACTCCCTTCGCGCTGCCAGTCCTACTGTCACACGTGTCCTAGCTACGGTTGTCACTGACCCTTCCTTTGAGTCCGCTGCTGCGTCTGCCCTAGTCACTGAGCTTGTCGACTTTGCAGCTGCGTGTCGTCTAGACTACGCAGCGAGTCTTGTTGCTGAGTCTGAGTCTGCCTGTCCTCCGTCCGTCGGGGGTGAGTGTGCTCTTGGCACGGACGTCCTTGAGGACAGGCAGGAGGAGTTTGGTTGCCTTGCCGCTGCTTTGCCCCATCTCGTGTCCATGCTTGTTGCCCCTGAGGGAGACCCGGATGCACCAGACATCCCGACCCCACGCTCTTACGCAGAGGCGATGGCCGGTCCCTACTCCTCTCAGTGGCAATCAGCCATGGACACAGAGATGGCTTCCTGGAAGTCCACAGGCACCTACGTCGACGACGTTCCCCCACCTGGGGCGAACATCGTCAGTGGCATGTGGATTTTCAGGGTGAAGCGGCCGCCAGGCTCTCCGCCTGTCTTCAAGGCGCGTTACGTTGCACGAGGCTTCAGTCAGCGAGAGGGAGTTGACTTCTTCCAGACCTTCTCCCCGACCCCGAAGATGACCACTCTTCGGGTTCTGCTGCACGTCGCTGCTCAGCGTGACTACGAGCTCCACTCTCTTGACTTCAGCATAGCTTTCTTGCAGGGCAGCCTGCACGAGGAGATCTGGCTGCGCCGCCCACCTGGCTTCACTGGGTCGTTCCCTCCTGGCACCCAGTGGAGCCTCCGACGGCCAGTCTACGGTCTCCGCCAGGCGCCGCGTGAGTGGCACGACACACTGAGGACTACACTTGCGGCTCTTGGGTTTGCTCCTTCTACTGCTGACCCGTCGCTGTTTCTGCGCACCGACACCTCGCTGCCGCCGTTCTACATCCTCGTGTACGTCGACGACTTGGTCTTTGCCACTGCGGACACTGCCGCACTCCCCCACGTGAAGTCCGAGCTGCAGAAGAGACACACGTGCACAGACCTGGGTGAACTGACAAGCTATCTTGGCTTGCGGATCACCCGGGACAGAGCACGCCGCACCATTACCCTGACTCAGTCACACATGGTGCAGCAGGTCCTTCAGCGCTTCGGCTTCATGTACTCCTCGCCTCAGTCCACTCCTCTGCCTACGGGTCACTCGCTCTCAGCTCTGCCTTCGGACGAGTCCGTAGAGTCGAGTGGTCCGTATCCAGAGCTTGTGGGCTGCCTCATGTACCTGATGACCTGCACTCGACCTGACCTAGCATACCCTCTCAGCATCTTAGCACGCTATGTTGCTCCCGGCCGTCACCGGAAGGAGCACATGGATGCAGCTAAGAGGGTGTTGCGCTACTTGTGCAGTACGTCGGGCATGGGGCTAGTGCTTGGAGGGCGAGACCGGCCTGTTCTCACTGGGCACTCAGACGCTTCTTGGGCAGACGACCAGGCTACTCAGCGGTCGTCTCAGGGTTACACCTTCAGTCTTGGCTCTGGCTCTGTCTCTTGGCGTTCTACTCGTTCTTCTTCTGTTCTCAGCTCCAGCTGTGAGGCTGAGATCTACGCCACGGCCATGGCTGCCCAGGAGCTTCGCTGGCTCACCTACCTGCTGACTGACCTTGGAGAGCAGCCTCGTTCTCCTCCAGTGCTGTACGTCGACAACAAGGCAACCATTGCCTTGTGCCAGGGGCACAGACTGGAGCACAGGACGAAGCACATTGCTCTGCGTTACTTTCTAGCTCGAGAGCTACAGCACCGTGGTCAGCTTCTTCTGCGTTACGTAGCCATTGAGGCCAACACTGCTGATGTGTTCACCAAGGCGCTTCCGCCTGTTGACCATCAGCGTTTTTGCACTCTTCTAGGCCTTGTGCCGACTGTTTCTCACTTACTTACTTCTTGACTTTACTTGTACTGTGATCATTATATATATACCTGCATGTTTGCCTTGTTAGGTTGTGATCATTGTACCTCTTGCTCTATTATAAAACTGCATGTGAACTGGTCTTGTGACCGCTTGCTTGCGCTCGGAATTTGTGTGGAATCCTCGAGATCCACCCTGAGCTTGTTTGCCTTGTTTTGCCTTGACTGGTCTTGTGACCCCTAGGTCTCCCCCACTTTGCCTATGGGGGTGTGTCAAACATTTTTATGTTTGTGTGGTTCTAGGCTGTAGTGGGTCACACCATAAGGGGTACACAAGATTAGGGTTTGACATATTTGTACTGTTGTTCCTGCTAGTCACTCCTCATTCTCGTTTCTCATTCTGACACCTAAAAGTCGGTACTAACCGAGTTTGGGTACCTTCCTACCGACCCTTACGAGAATTACTGACGCAGGAAGTACACGACTCCAACCTCTCCGGGCATTTCGGCGTCGACAAAACGTTGAAGCTACTGCAGGGGAATTACTACTGGCCCGACATGGCGTCGGACGTGCAGCACTACGTGTCCGCCTGCCCGACCTGCCAGGCAATGAAATCATCACGACAACGCCCAGCTGGATTACTGCAGCCCCTCGAGCCACCCGAACGACCGTGGCAACAGTTGACAATGGATTTCGTCACGGGCCTCCCAGCTGGCGCAACTGGCAACGACTCCGTGCTCGTCGTCGTTGATCGCTTAACGAAAATGGCGCACTTCGCACCCTGCCGTACAAGGATCACAGCCGAAGAAACAGCGAGACTCTTCATCTCGACCGTCGTGCGCCTACACGGGTTACCTTCGGCGATCATCAGCAATCTGAAATTCACGTCGAAGTTCTGGCAGAAGACATGGGCACAGTACGGTACCCGCCTGCAGTTTTCGTCGTCCTACCACCCGCAAACTGATGGACAGGCAGAGAGGACAAACCAGACGATGGAGCAGCTGATTCGCACGAACTGCCCAGACATCGCCAAGTGGGAAGATTCCCTTCCCATGCTCGAGTTTGCGTACAATAACGCCCCGCCCCCTCTGCAACGACCAAGCAGTCACCATTCTACGTGAATTACGGGATGGACCCGGTGGTACCCTCGTCAACGACTCCCGACAACCCGGTACCCAGGTGACAGCAGTTTATTTCGGAACTACAAGCAGCGCGCGCCAAAGCAGCAGAATTTATCCGGAAAGCGAATACGGCCGCCAGCCGCTACGCCGACCAACATCGACGAAATTTACCCTTTCGTAATGGGCAGATGGTTCTCCTGGACACCAAAAACCTCAAACTGCCCCAACTTGCAAAACTGCGTCCATGCTACGTGAGACCTTTCCGCATCATTCGGATGCTGAAACCGGTCACGGCGAAACTTCTACTACTGGACGACTGGCATATCCACGACGCCTTCCACGTCAGTTTACTTCGCCACTACGTGGCACCCCAGTCATCCGACGTCGCTCGACTCCACCAGGCGCCAAGTGTCCGACCGGTGGCAGATCCTACGCTCCAACCTTGGAAGATATTGAATCATCGCCAGGGCTTTTTTTTGGATTTTCACTACTCGGATTTCCAGAGCTGTTTTCTAGAGAACTCTGAAATTCAGGGTTCATTGTGAGCGTTACTCTGATTTGTCAGAGAAAACTTAACTTCTGAAAAATCTACTCTGGGCACCCAGTGTACCTACTTTTCCAACTCTGTGTGTCCTCTCAAGTATTGAACCCAGGCCCTCTGCACTCCTACCAAAAGGATTAAGCGTTGTGCTACGCGCTCACCAGTTGGGGTTTACTAACTTATATACATAGAATTTGCACATCTTCCAACAATTGGGGGGGCAGAAAAGGGCGGGGGGAGGGGTTCTGACACGGTGAAATGCCTATACCCTGTACAGAGAAAATTATATCTGTCACAAATATACACTGGTCTCTCAGAGTAGCTAAAATCAGAACCCTGACAAATCAGAGAAAACTTATCCTCCAAAAAAATTACCCAGACACGTCAGAGTGACCCCCTACAAACCACTCTGATTTTCAGAGAAACAGAGTAATTTACTCTGATAAAAAAACCCCTGATCATCGCATTCGTGCGACCCCCGCTGGACGCCACGTCGACTTCCTACTACGATGGGTGGATCGCACAAGTGACGATGACACGTGGGTCCCGGCTGACTCACTACAAGGGCACTCGGTACTTCGGCAGTATCTTTCTCGCCGACATGTGCCTGATATTGACCACCTTTCTTGAAGGGGGGGGGGGGTAGTGTAAGGAATTTCGCTAATTCCTTACTGAGGCACCTCTTACGCGTTCAACTCCAACTTTCGGAATTCAGGCTCGGTCCGTCGACCTCGCCTCCCGAACGTCTCCCGCATCGCCTTCGGGTTTCCCAACCCCAAACCTACACCTAACCTTCGCGCGACTCCGCGACCTCGGCTTAGCTAGCTGTGCTATATTATGCCTAGGCCTCGTTGTTTGCTCAGTAGTTGTAATCACTTCCGCGATATTGCATTCTGCTCACTCTTCTTTCATACAACTCATAACAGGTCGGGGGGTAGAGACTAGTTGTGCGTTCGGCTCGCATTACCCTGAAGTAGTTTGGGTGGGTGGGGAGGGATAGAAAATGGATGACGGGGCAGTCAGGGAATGTCAACAGCCCGAGAGTATCGAGTCGCGATACACGAGGACTAATTTTGACTCGAGTCAACACCGTCCATCGGTGTCTGCAAGAGAACGTTGTACCCTTTTCACCAACTCCAACAAAGTTGGTGACGCTGCGCGCCAAGCCCTCTCTAAACCAAGCTTTCTCCATAAATTCTATGGCATGAGTTCCACCAACGTCCCCTTTCCCAACGCAATCCCCATTGATCATCTCCTTTTAGTACAGACAAAGCCCTTCATTCCAAATCAGTCCACTCAGGGCGACAGAGCTGCAATCACATCCAACGATGGCGTTTGTTCCTTTTCTTAGCCGCCTCAAAGCCATGGTTTCACCCGCGCGCGCCGATCCGCCCTTCCCCGTGGAGCGCCTCCCCGACGACGTTCTCGCGCTCGTCCTCCGCTCGCTCGCGCAGACCTCCTTCCGCCACGCGCTCGTTTCTAAGCGCTGGCTCCGCCTCGCCACGTCCGCGCTCTCCCATTTTAACATTGAGATACATCATCCCGAGCAGTACCGCAACGCGCAGCTTGCATGGCTCCCGCTCCCGCGCCTTCTTTCCGCGCTGCGCCGCTTTCCCACCCTCACGCACGTGTCGCTGGGCGAGTTCTCCATCTTATTCGCCGACGGTGACGCGCTCTTCCAATGTCTGGCCGCCACGTGTCCGAGGCTGAGCCATCTAACCGTGGAGCATCAGCTTCGCATGGCGGTTACAGTAGACGGCCTCGCGTCGCTCTTCCGTGGATGCCGCAAGCTCAGGGAACTCCGGCTGCTCACCACCGCCGGCTTCCCGCATCTTCCGCCGTCCCTTTCGCTCCTCACAGATCTCCAAACCCTCCACGTGTGCGCGCATGCTCATTCTGGCAAAGACTCGTTACAGGAGCTCGTTTCGCCGCCCGAGAGCATCGGCGCGCTGCAGCAGCTGCGAGAATTGCGGGTCAATGCGGGAGCGACTTTCCAGGGACTCGGGGAGTGCGTGGGTCTCCTGAAGAACCTCCGCAAGTTGAGTATCAGTAGTGTGTTCTCAAGAACCGTCACAGAGCTTCCCGACGCGATCGGCGACTTGGCTCGGCTGGAAACCCTAGAAATCGAGCTGGACGGGCTCGAGTGCCTTCCGGAATCCCTCCAACTGCTGACCGGGCTGAAAACCCTTTCCATCCAATCAAAGAATTTACCATGCCTGCCCGAGAATGTTATGGCGGGGCTGACGCAGCTGCAGTCTCTTTCCCTCCACGCCTGCGATTCCATCGGGATTCTCCCAGAGAGCATCTGCTTCCTCCCTCTCTCCTCCCTCTGCATCTCCTCCTGCCCCTCCCTCACCTCACTCCCACACCACATCGGCGCCTTGTCCCACCTGCAAACCCTAAAGCTCCTCTCCCTTGATAATATCCGGGATCTGCCCGAAAGCCTGGGTAATCTACCCCGGTTGAAAACGCTCGAGCTGGTCCTGCCCACGCTGCAGCATCTGCCCGAGAGATTGTGTGAAAGCAGCCTGCCAGCGTGCCTGGAAAAGCTGAGCCTGACCAACTGTTATCAACTAAAGGAGCTTCCTCCCTCACTGTACAAGCTGACGCGTTTAGAGTCCCTCCATGTCGAGTCATGCTCCGAAATAGAGTCTCTGAAGCCTCTGACCTCTCCAAACCCTCCTGATGGCTCCGGAAGTGGGTTGGAATGGTGCAGTCTGGCTGACAAGGCGGTCATCGGTGCTCTCTGCACTGCTGCACTCTTTGCCGTTATGGTGCTGATCTCCCAACCGCTTCTCACCATGCGAGACCGGATAGAACCGTCCTCTGCTGCCACGCTCGCTGCCACCGGTGCAAGAAGTGGCAGTGCTTTTGTCAACGCCGCGTCGCTGCTTCTTGTCGTGGTGCTGCTGCTGATATCACATGTGCCCAGTGCGTGGCTCTATCCAGCCATGCTGCTCGCTGCTTCTCTGCTGGTGTTCTCACTCCTATATGCTGCTGCCTCTGCCCCTTCTGCTGGCCCTGTTTCTGCTCCGAACTTTCCCGCTGCCTCTGCCCCTCCCGCTGCTCCTGCGAGCGGATCTACCGGTACCCCTGTCTTTGATTCTGCAGCAAACGGCACAGAACAACACCCAGGCCTAGTTTCCCTCGCCATACTTAAAGTTTCCTACTGCACACGTATCTCCTCTCTCCCAGAAAACTTCTCCTTCCCTGCCCTCCACACGCTCACCCTGTATTGCCTTGGCAATCTGGAAAATCTCCTGGACTTATCCAGCAGGCAGCTGCCCCAACTGCAGCATCTGGAGTTGGAGGGGGTGGGTGTGGAGGCGGAACCATGGCTGCTAGACTGCCTTCCCGGTGGCTGGTCGGGGAGAATGCAATTGCTGCTGCGAGTCAAAACTATGTTTGTGCTTCTGCAGGTGGTGGAAGGATTTCTGCATATGACTGTGTCGCTGATGGGGGGGGTTTGTTCAGTGCTGCAGGGTGCTTGCACTTGGTTGGCTGGGCTTGCATGGAATTTATGCAGGTTAGCGTATGGGTGGTGCGTAGGGGAGGTGGAAGAAAACAGCCCGCTTGTTGTGAGTCACGACTGGAGATGATTGTAACATGTAATGTACAGGTTAATGTACAGACAGACCCCTCTTGTGAATTTGTCAGAATTTCAAGGTTGATCTGTGCCAGCAAAGCAAATGGTCCGCGAGAAATCAGAACACTAAGAATTAATTCACACACGGTACTATCCATCGATCATGGTTCTCTCTGTACGAGCAACAAGCACACGGATCCCCTTGATACGCACCCCTCACATACACCCTCCCCTCACTGTCATTCCTACAAATCTTCTTCTCAAAACGGTGCCGGAACTCTTTTGAAGGCTTCATGACCTTACCGCCCATCCACTTGTGATTGAAATGGTGCACACATTGGAGAGATGGCAGCAGCCACAGCGCCTCTGGTAGCACCTTTACGCTCGTGTCAACAATATACACGCTAGAGAGACAAGGAAGGAAAGACGAGTTGGAACCAAGGTCTCGGCGTGCTTTCGCCTCCCTGGAGAAACTCAAGGGACAGCGGAGTGGGGCTGACAAGGCCGATAGGAAAAAATTCTTCCCCTTTTGGGCTGTGACAGAAGTGCAGCTGCTGAAATCACCTGCTAATGTGCACATTTCAGCTTCAGGAGGAGAATCCCCCTCCACATTGTCGCACCGTAACGCATCGCACTTCACCGCTTCACTGGTCACCCTCCCCTCCACCCCATCCACACTACATGCCTCCATAGCACCATTGCAAAACGAAAGCAAATCCAGATCTTGAATGCTGAGGCAGGAGCGAATCGCGAGGGAGGAGAGAGAGGACAGGGCGGAGGGGACGTTGTGAGGGAGGGATTTCAGCTGCGAGCAGCCATGGATGACTAGGGTTTGCAGGTTGGAGAGCAGGGAGAGGGACGGAGGAAGCTCCTCAAGCTTCCACAGAAGTGACACGGTCAGCCTGCGAAGGTTTTTAAGCTGCCCGAGTGGAGGGAGAGAGTCCAGATGGCGGAGTCCCACCAGACGAAGGCTTTCGAGAGCGGGCAGCCATATCTGGCCTTGGCAAGGGGAGCCGACCGGGCCGGGCAGGTCTCGAAGAGCCGTGCACTGCTCCAGTTCCAGGTGACGGAGGTTTGAGAGCTGCCCGAAGGAGTCGGGCAGGTTGGATAAATGATACACCCAGATCATGCGAAGGGTCTGCAGTTGGGAGAGTGATCCAAAATTATGGGGAAGGGCGGTGAGAGATGCACAGTTATAAAGCTCCAGCAGTTCTATTCGGAGCTGCCCGAAAGAGTCGGGCAGTGACACCAAACACGTGCAGTCCCTCAACCGCAGCTGCTGAAGGCTGGCCAAGCTGCCCATCCTCTCGGGCAGCTGACTCAACTTCCTCAGTCTAAGCCAGAGCACTTGTAGCAGGGGCAGGTCACAGATTTCCTCGGGCAGGGCAGAAACTTTTTCCGAGGTGACCTCCAAGTGGCTAAGCATCTTCAGTGCGCCAACACACGCAGGCAGCGCCTGCAAGCACCAGCTGTTGACTCTTAGGTAAGTGAGCGCACTTAAACACTGTAAGTGTGAAGCACATGCAGTCAGAGAAGTTAGGGATGACTCCCGCTGCCTCCTAATCCGAGCACTTATTAAGTCCAGGCTGGTACCGCTATCACCCCTTGTAGGCATCAAATTCTGCCCCTGCGCCTGCCTCCTTTCCTCCGCTTCCCCGCAGCCTCCCCTTCCGCCTTCCCCACCCCCCTCCGCCCCCGCCAGCGCATGCTTTCCGCCTTCCCCCCAGCACCATGCGCCACTGTCCCCCAAGTCGAGCGCGGAGAGGTTGGTGAGGCGGGAGACGGCGGGCGGAAGCGCGGATATTGCGCTCAGGGAGAGCAGGCGCAACGACTCCAGGCGCGGGCATCCGCGGAAGAGCGCGGAGAGTCCGGCGGCGGAAACTCGGCCCTCCGCGCGAGATTGGTGAGCGAGAGCGAAGCTCTTCAGATGCGGACACGTGTCAGAGATCCGACGGAGCAGCTCGTCTTGAAGGATTGGAGAATCGAACGGTGGAATGATAACATTTTCCGCAATATCTAGATACGTGATTGTAGGGAAAGTTCTCAAAGCGCACAGGAGGTCATCCGGGGTAATCTCCCTCGTTATTGTCACATGGGAGAGCGAGAGGCGGAGGAGGCGGCACCAGCGCTTGCAGACCAGATTCGTCTGCAAGGCGAGGTGGATCGAGCGACGCGAGACGAGGCGAAGCACCACCGCGAGAACGTCGTCTGGAAGTTCGTTCACGGGAAAAAGAACGAAATGCGGCTCATCTTGTGAGTCGTAACCCGAATCCGACGGTGAGGATTGCGAGAAAAAAGCGTTGATATTGGCAGTGAGGAATGCCATGGTGGGAATACAGCAAGCGAGAAAAACGGCTACTAGGTGAGTGGGTTTGTGTGCCTCCCTTGCCTTAGATTCTAGTCGAGCTGTGGAGACCCAAAAACGTTATGCTCATAATAACCACTTATCCCCGGTACAAGGTGTAAGTACGCCAGTATATTAGAATTAAACCTGATTCACCAATGGATGTATGACATCTGTAAGTACTACCACAAATACCATCATGCATCCCATGTAGCTAATACAAAATCGCGACAATGCACACACGGGTAGCTATAATTCCTAGAGTAAACAAACCCTCCTTGCACGCTCTCGCACGAATACCTGGAAAACCCGTACACCTCCGGCAATGAAAACACCGGAAAACCAAACCACCCCCCATTTCGAAAGTGTACAGTCTGTAGTGACTCCACATGTAGAAGAGATGGTGGAAGGGACTTCATGCCACAATCAAACACAAGCACATGCCGTAACGTGTCCGTGCCGCCCCTGCTGGCCTTCCCCTCCTCACTATCCAGACTGCACAAGCTTGTGCACTCAATGAGTGCCACCTTGGACAGGTTCCGAAGACCTGAGATTGTGCCACGTGGCAGGGATGCCAGGTTGGCACATTGGTGAATGACCAGCAGTTCGAGGGATGGCAGTTGTGGGAGAGAGGCAGGGAGGTACTCTAGATTGGGCAGCTGAGAAAGCATTAGCTTGCGCAGGGATTTCAGCTGCCCGAGAGAATCGGGCAGGACAGTGAAATTGTCCAGTCTGACCAGCCTGAGAAGCTCCAGCTTTGGCAGGCAGCCTAGATCTTCGGGCAAGGCAAGGATCCCAGTGTGGTCCGTCATCTCTAGTATCACTAACGAGGACAGCCCTAACGAGGACGAAGGAAACTGCCTCCCCACACTCCAGTGGGAGTAGTTCCCTGCCAGATTCCCCTCCTGCTGTTCCCCCCCTTCCCATGGCCTCCCTTCCTCTTGCTGCTGCTGCTGCTGCTGCTGCTGCACCACCCCCTCTTGCATCTCATCCGCTCTCTCCTCCTCCTCCTCCTCATCTTCCTGCATGCGCCCACCCAACCCAGTACGCAACCCAATAGGCCGCGCCCTCTGTTGATCCTGCCCCTGCTCCTGACTCACATTCTGATGGGGGACGGAAAAGGATCCTCCAGAAACGCCTCCCCGAGCAACCGACGAAGACGCTTGGGAAGGGGAGGGAGGCGCAAGCGATGCAGAGGCGGTGCCAGGCGGAAGGGATTCGTGGGACGGGCGGGGTGGTGGAGGGAGGAGTTGCGCGGTGAGGGGGGGCACGTGGGGGAGGTCCGGGAAAGCTGCAATGCTGAGTCGTTCCAAGCGGGCTAGGAGGTAGAGGGAGAAGGGCAGGCGCACCACCCCGCATGTGCTCATGTCGAGGACTCTCAGCTTCGGCAGGTGCCCGAAGAGTTCGGGCAGCGTGCGCAGGCTCGAAAGCTCGTGCAGTTTTAGGGTTTCCAAAGCGGGCAGGAAGCTGAAACTTTCTGGGAGAGACCGGAGCCGGTCGCAGAGGTGTATGCTGAGGAAGGATAGGCTGGAAAGCTGCCCGAACGAGTCGGGAAGTTTGGACAGACTCTCGCAGTTTGTCAGCCACAATCGCTGCAGGTTTTTCAACCTGCCCAGGCTCTCGGGCAGCTCCTCCAAAGACTTGGCCTCGAGCTTCAGCACCGCCAACGACCCTAGCTGCCCGAAATTGCCGGGCAGCGAACTAAGGACCTCTGAATGGATTTCTAGATGCTCCAAACGTGTCAGCTCGCCGATGCTCCACGGTAGGCTCTCAAAGCAGCGACTGCTCACAACCAGCTTCCTCATACAGCTTATCGAATCTAGGCTTATATCGGGTTCAATCAGTTTCGTGAACGTATCCAATCCGCGCCAGGCTGGGTCGTCCCCTAACTCGAGCACTTCTAGCTGGGAGAGGAGCGTGAGGGACGCGGGTAGCGCGGAGATCCCGCTGAGGGAGAACAGGCGGAGCTGCTGCAGGCGTGCGCACCCGCGGAAGAGCGCGGAGAGCCCTGCGGGGGAGAAGCGCGCGCGGAACTGGTACCCGATGAGCAGGCGCGTGAGATTGGGGCAGCGCGCGGAAATTCCGCGCAGGAGTTCGTCTGTCGCGTGCGGAACGGTGTTCTCCGCTATATCGAGTTGTGACAATGTCGGGAATGTGTCTACGGCGGAGAGAAGCTGCGCGGAGTGCACGGCGCGCGGAACCTTGAGGTAGACGCGCGCGAGGCACGTGAGACGGAACCAACGCTTGCACACAAAGGCGTGCGCGAGGGAGTTGCGGGAGAGATGCTGGAGGACCAATGAGAGCACGTCGTCAGGCAGACGGTCCAACGGGAATGCCGGATGCTGATTTGCCAGATGGCAGATAGATGCGGGACGATCCGACGGTGCATCTATACGGTGTGGATGATGACGAGATCTTGAGACCGTCGGATCTCGCACTCGTTCCAAGCCGTCGATTCCTTGTAACACGGAACTCGAGGCGATTGCGATAGATGCCATCTAAGCACGCTTTAGTAAAAAACACGTCGTTAGCGAGCGTTGGATTCGAGTAACAGAGGAACGCTAAGGAAATCGAGAGACTGTGGCAGCTGTAGTATTCTGGAGGATGTTAGTGCTAGTGAGCGATCACTTTGCGTCCGCCTGCTCCGCTGGCACCCTTCCCCCTATCTA